AAATTTAGTCAAAAGATGATTATCATAATTTGTTGATAATAGCAATCCTTCCGGGATTGATATAGGATTTATGGAAAAAATAATAATTCAATTTTGAATTAGCAACCAGTCAATTGCATACAAGAGTCATGTTGCATGCATGAGAACAAAATTGAGTAAATAAGCATGCAAATTAAGAGAAGTAACTTTGAGAAGTAAACTTCTCGAATAGTAAATTTCGGATAGTTAATCCGAGTAGTAAAATCAGCAAAGTAAAATCACTTTGCCCTCATAATAATTTGCGTCCAAAAATAACTTAAATTTTCGAATATTACGGTCATGAATTAACTTTTCAGATGCTTCAGGCATAAACTAACTTCTCGGATGCTTCAAGCATAAGCTAACTTCTCAGATGCTTCAAGCATGAGCTAACTACTCGGATACTTCATGCTTCAGGCATAAACTAATTTTTTCGGCCATGAATATATTTTCATGCATTGTTCAAAACATTATCATGACACCAATCATTTCTTCATCAATACCTCATCATTTCATTATCATAATTTATCGCAATATTTGCTTCAGGCAAATTAGCTAGAATCATCAAGATGAGGTTCATTCTCCGATGACCAAATGCTTTGGTGTGCGGCACATAGGGATCAATGCCCTTCACACCCACATTGATATCAAACCTGCTTCTGGCTAGATTTTTGCCTCGATGAGTTTTGGTGGTCCTTGAATATCTTGATCACTTTGTTTCTTATTCTGAGCTCGAAACTCATACCACACCGGTTATAATCTCGACTGCAACCCCTTATAAAGTTACTCAACTAGGTAACGTTATGTGCTTCAGGCACCCGTGCAAAATCAACCAGACATGCATTTTGATTCTTCATCAACAACTAGTTATGTTTCTTAACCATAAGAAGTGTTAAAATCAGCTTAGGATGCTTCTCATAATTTGTTGTCTTGTACTACTGTTGGAGTACAAATTACTCACACAAAAAGTTGGCAATGTCTTTTCAATTAAATATTTCTCTAAAACTTCTTGTTTAGAGTTTCACTTCTGAGACTATTTTGTGCAGAGCTGAATTATAGTCAGTTACTGACTTATAATCTTAAAACTTAAGATTAATCTAGTCAAATTGTGTCTGAGGAAGGACAATAGATGACTACTAGTCAAAATGGTCCTTCAGGGACTTACATAACGCAATAGGGACTTTTTCAATCAAATACTCATTTTTAATATCGTGGTTCAAGTAGTGACGTATGAAAATGAGAGCTTGTGCCTTCTGGGCATCGGTTCTCTGTGACTTAGCAACAAAAGTTTGGCTCGATTTCTTAGATGCCAAATATATTCCAATATCTAAAGTCCAAGTGAAATAATTGCTATCGACATGAGCGAGCTCAATAAATTCACATTTTCAATGAAAGACATAATCTACAAGATCATCATTTGATGCAACTTTATGAAGTAATGTGACAAGTTGCGGAAAACCCACTATTTTGAATACATGTTCAAGCAATGGATGAAGAAACACCTTTTACATAAATATGCATATCCGTTTCTTAGCATTCTAATACAAACACAACAATCCAATGCAAACATAATAAGGACCGATTATGCATTCGATCTCCATAATCATAGAACATACATGGATACATATACATACAATTTGGCATATAACCAAAATGGTGCAACACGAATCAGTGAGGCAACCACCAAATTGATGCAGCAAGCATCGACTCGTGTTTATAGCATCAACTCGTGCTACAGGCAATGAGTGGTGCTTCACTCTCCAATACACCTAATTGATGCTCCCAAGTCATCAATTAAGCTTTAAAGTCTTACTCACTCTTAAGTTTCCACAAAATAAACTTTAACAATCTTAATTTAAAACCATTCATTCATTGCCTAATCAGGCACAAAAATGAATTGCTAATCACATGCAAATGACATATCATAAAAACATAATAATGCACTACAACAGTACAACATAGGGTATATAACATACAAAGTATGCAAAATGAAAATAATATGTATACATACATTGCAGTTTCATACGAAAAGTCACTTCTATTTACACAAACATATATATCTCATGCTTTTCTTTCAATTTGAAAAATCAAAAATAAAATTGGAAATATATATTCAGGAATTTACACAATTATATATATACGAACCAGTATGTGCAATTCATATTTCAAATTTTAGAATCAATATGTATCATATCAATCATGTATTTCATAATCATATCAGGGGGTGTAGAATCAACATGTGCCATATAAAAACATGTATTATATGAAACCTATGAACATGCTTGCCTAGTATAAAAACATGTATTATAACATGTCCGAGCATACCGTTCACCGAGGAATATGTTGGCGATTCGTGCTGATAACGTGTTGTAATTTGGCCTATCAACTCGTTAGTTCTCGCGTGATGATTATACAGTAATTGCCCGGAGATTATATATATAAGATTATAAAGTGTAGAGATGTAAGAAGAGAAGAATGACACAAGATGTAGAGCACAAACATGAGAACTTCATTTCATTAAGCCTTCACATGTATTTATACTAATCCATAGAACCCTTCATATGCTTAACATAAACAATATATTAAGTAGAAGGAAAATGGAGAGTCTCAAGATTAATAGCCACTAATAAAATATTTATAACAAACAGTAGCAATTCTTTCTATATTGAAATTCGAATTGCGAATTTCAGTAGTATATCACATCTTTTTGTAATAAGTGTGGACATATTCACACTTTCCATGTTGAGAAATCAAAAGTTAAGATTGTACCATTACTAAATTTTGAAATTTGAAATAAGTGAAAATAACGATTTTAGTCGATTAGTTATGCTTAAATTGTAGAATTAGTCCATAAATTATTGCTCTATACAACTTTTTCTCTTTAATTATGTTGAAAGTAGTTATTTCAATCCATTACTTATAACTTTTGTTAACATTAAAAATTTATTTTGATTTGTCAAATTATTAGAAGACAAATTGGTCATTTTTTTTTGTAAAATTTTTCCAAGTATAAACAAATAAGCTTTTCACATTGATGATTTCAAGTGAATGTTGAGTTTTTTATAATGTTGATTACACGAGAATGTGATATGATGGAAAGTTGACACCACAAAGGTACAGTTAGTTGATGCATCCACCGCTTCTTTATCTTCATATACCTTCAATCCTATGTAATCTCTTGTTTGACATTTTTGCTTTTGATTTTTTATCAATCAATTTACCGAGGTTTTCCGTAAGAGTGTTGTATATAAGAAGAGTCATGGAGAAAATTTGGACAAATTTTATAAAATGACTAATTTGTCCTCTAATAATTTGACAAATCAAAATAAATTTTTAATGTTTAACAAAATTTATAAGTAATGGATTGGAACAGCCACTTTCCACATAATTAAAAGGAAAAAGTTATATAGAACAATAATTTATGCACTGAGTCTATAATTTAGATATAATTAATGGACTAAAATCTTCATTTTTCCTTGAAATGATTATAAAATAAACCTCATTCTTACAAGTTTTTAATAATTATAAAATTGACCTTTTTTTAAACCCTCAATAATTGATGAACCCCGATAGACGACTGAGATCAGCCTTTATTTTTTACAGGAGAATCATGTCCTTATTTGATTATGCTCCCATATACATTACAATCACATTATAGCTTAGGGACGAAAAATGAGTATGACCTGTTAAAAAATATAAAATTTACAACATCAATTATAACTTATGGACGAGAAATGAACACGATCAACAAATAAGATAAATCCTTCCTAAAAAAATAATAATAATAATAATAATAAATCCTACAATTATCATATAACTTAGACACAAAAATTACAATTTTTCCCAAAAATAATAATACTTTGTAATAGAAATAGGTTCAAACCGGTGAACCCCCGGTTCAGGTCTTCAATTCATAGAATCGAAACCGATCCTGCTTCATGATTGAAAAGGATCGAAGGTGTTAAAAAAAAAGATTGGAATTTGGGATGCAGACAAAAGTTTTGAACAATTTTTAAATTTTGGCGGCAGGCATCGAAAACCGCGTCCAATTGAATTTTCCGTCGGATTGCGTCGCCGAAATGCTGCCTTCCGCCGGCTACATAACCTTCGACTTTCATCCTCTGCGAACCCGTCGCCTTGGAAACTTCCGGCGACATCGTCTAGAGGTCTCTGGATTCCGTATTTCCGTCGATCCTATGATAAGCTAAGTTTTAAATTAGCACTTGTTTATGACTCCGCTGTGATTCTAGATTTCTGACATCTACTCTGTTTTATGATAAAATGATTATTAATTCAACCGTATGGGGCTATAATCCAGCTTGTTCCCCTAATGCAGAAGTATTGAATTGTTTAAGCACAATCATATGAAGTCAGTATGGCATGATACCGGCCTATATTTTATTTTTAAAATTCTGCAAATTAAATATGGATTTTGATATTTTTGCTTGAAGAGATTTAGCTGCTCTGGATTTTTTTGTTTTGTTTTTTTTTTTTGTTTTTTAAAATCTTTTTAAAATTAATTTCTTTTTGAAGTGTTGATTTTAAGAAATTTGAAGCAGTGTAGGAAATTGTGGATGAATAGAAGGAATTGAAGATGGTAGATACAAGAAAAATGAATGAAAAAAAAGGTCACAGAGTATTATACCTTGTGGTAAAATCTCGCATGACTTAATATGTTATAAGTAATATCGTTTGAAATTTATGCATATGAGAGTATTTCAAGTATTTTGGCATGAAAAAAATAATACTTACACATATATGCATTAGTTGTAATAGGACCTCCTTACATTTAATAAACAGTACTGTATACACACCACTTTTGCTAGTATGTTTTCCAATATAAATTCTGCATTTTTTTTTTGTAATAATAAAAAAATAAAAAGCCTAAGCACCAAATATCTGCTTGCATATTGAGCAAAATTTCCTCACCTTAATCTTGCTTTGAGGAAGGAAGATAATGGTTCTGATTTTTTTTTTTTTTTTGGCTACCAGTTGTGTTGCAACCAACTGTCAACTATTAACAAGTATTCTTGCACAATGATAATTTCCCTGGTATTTCTTTAGCCTCTCGCGTGTGACTTGCCAGTCTGACAGTCTGTTGTCTTGATGTTGCTTCATGATGCTGTTTGCTGTCCTATCTCATGCTTTTCAGATATCTGAATATGAAATCCGTTTGGGAATTGCAAACCAGGAGTCCTTAGAATGTCTCCTCCTTTGATTGGTATCCACCTGGAAATAATGTTTTTGGATTAGTAATCAGTTTGCTCCTTGCCCTTTTCAATGTGCAAGAGCCCAGAGGGACTTATGTTCTTACTTGTATTTGGTCACCAAACAGTGGAGAAAGACTGCCATCTGTACCTTAGTGAAATCTGTTCCAACACAAAATCGCATTCCACCTCCAAAAGCCATGAAGTTTCTTGTTGCTCCATTTATTTCTACTCCCTTTATTCCAGCAATATATGGTATAGTTTTAGAATATAAAATATGATTTGATATAGCTCATCTCTGATTTAGCAGTTGAATAAAGTTTGAGACTCTAAAAGGCTCACCTCCCATCTCCAAGGATTGAATTCAAGTGGATCTTTGTATCTGGTGGGGTTCAGGTGTACAGCTGGAGGACAAACCATAACTGCCCAACCAGCAGGAATGGTATACCCTACATCAAAGTCATTTTTATGTGAGTAACTCTATATTTTTACCCTCATAAGAACTTGGTAGTAATCATTTTTAAATGTATACCTTTAAAATTGATATCTCGTAAAGATTTTCTGAAAATCCCAGGAACAATGTTTGCCAGCCTGACTGTTTCATGGATAAACTGTAATTAACAAGTATATGTCATTAGTTCATCATCATGTTTGGATTCTTTGAAATTTCCAAATGATGAAAACCGATATTACTTGACCTACCTGAAATGTAAATGTCATTGATTTGTATTCTTGCCATGTCAGTCCAGAATTGGGATTTTCTCTGTTTTTAATTATTGCCTCGTGCTCTTCCTGAAAATATTTAGAGCAAGTTAGTTTAGGAAATGGCATGAAACATAGCAACAGGTAGTGTTGTGAAAGCCATATTCACTTACTGTTAGTTTTTCCAATACCAAAGGATGGTCACTGAGAAATTTGATGGCTAAAGTTAAAGCTAGGGAGGTTGTCTCAAAGCTAGCGAAAAGCAGCACAAACATCAAATCTAGAGCAATTCCCTCAGTAAGAATTGTATCCTTTCTTTTGAGTTCCTCTAGGACAAAATCAAAGAAATCAGTTTGGTTCTTCCTTGGGTTTGCTCGCCTTTCCTCTATCTTCTCCTTCAACAACTTCATTGCCTTTTTTCTTCCCTGATGAATAACTCATAAATCAGAACTCTAGTTTTAACCTTACAAATGAAACCAAAAGCCTCTCAAATGCTATTATATATATATAATGCATGTTATACCTGTAAACAGTTGTGATAGGCTGTTCCTGGGATGTCAAGAGGAAAGGAGATTAATCCCTGTATAAAAGCCACAAAACTTTCCCGTAGATTCTCTGAGGAATTCTCAGAATCATAGCTGATCAACTTTTTAGCAGTTAAATCAAATATCATCTGAAAAAAAGAAAAACAAACATTAAAATATTAGCTCAATAGAATTTGAACAGTGCATATACATACAGTTCCTCTATAGTTTCAGTCTGGCCAACTTACCGTAGCAGTGGATTCCTTCATTTCCACAGTTGTCTGGTTTGACCACCTTCTCAAATTTCTATTTGCTGCCTCTTCAACTTCTGGCAGCATTTTTTTCAGGCTCTCAGGACCAAACAGGTTTAGCACCATGTTTTTAAGGTACTTGTACATAAAACCATGCAAAGAACCTACATTTTGCCTCCCAAAGATCTCAGTGAATGTATCTGGATACCAGCTTTGGAACAACTGCCCCTCTTGTTGGAAGATGAAGTAGTTAAGCTCAGGGTCTGTAGATACAATCACCGGCCGCCCTACCAAACTTGTTCTGAATATTGGTCCATATCTGCAGAGTAGAATTCAAAGTAATATAATCAAATAACTATTCTAGGGGGATCAAGAATGAAACAGTTGAGTGTAGAATGCATTAGCACTCATATATATATATATATATAGCCAGTTCTAGCTAGGCTATACTAGCAACATTACCTCTTCATTCTCTCCTTAACAAAGGGAGGAATATCAGATGTGCTATTGGGTGCAAAGAACTGAAGAGTCTCTCCAAGGAGCGGCCACCCCATTGAACCCGGTGGGAGCTTCCCTTTGCATCTGGGATTCCTCCATCGGTAAATCCAATGTGTAATGATTACAAAAATTAATGCTCCAATGCACATAAGTGCTGACATCTTAATATATATATATTATGGTTCTGTGTTTTGTGTTTGCACAGGAGATAGAATTATAGAAAGAGAGAGAGAGAGAGAGAGAGAGAGAGAGAGAGAGAGAGAGAGAGAGAGAGAGAGGGAGAATTGAAGTTGAGAGTTGAGAGTTGAAGTATAGATACAATTAAGTTTCCAATGTGAGTAAGTATATTATATGGCTGTGATCAGAAGAAGTATGGTTGAATTGAAGTGGGAGATACGTGGTGGTCTGAGAAGACAGGAATGAGAAGAAAGTGCTGGCATGTACTCCATATCCACGAGGAGTACTTCTTAAATAGGCCTGGCCAGAATTACAACTAATTAGTATTATAATAACATTTTTGAATTGTTCCATTTGTTTATCCAAGTTGGTTGCTCAAAAAGCTGTACAAGTAGTTGGAGATAAGAATTGTATAGCTAGAATTATTTTGTCTACAACACCCCTTCCTTTGTCAACAGGATCCATAGAATTTTATGAAAAAAATAAATAAATGATTAAAAGCCTTGCATGACAATGAATTGAACCTCACAGGATGCTTCCTCTCTCTGACTCTCTCTCTCTCTCTCTCTCTGATGAGTCTTAACTTCAAGTCTTCAAATTAAACATGAAACTAGGGAGCATGGGGCTTGAAGTTAAGATTGCACATTTTTAGGCTTTTTCCCTAAAATCTAGATTTGAGAATGTAAAAGAGGATTTTAAAATTGTGTTGAAACTGCAGAATATATATATGAATCAACCTTAGCTTCTATGTATTATAAACCCCAGAATCTAATTATTCCCTTTACTCAGTTTAAATCCTCCCAATATCTAATGCTAAATACTTTGCTATCTACGTGGTATTTATTGATCTCTCAAGATTAGATGCTAGAAGACTGATGCTTCTGGTATTCTGTCTTAACATTTGGATCTCATCCTAGATCTTCTTTAGTTGTACTCACTATGTCATGTCAAACTCTGAAAATCTTAATTACATCACCCAGTGATTCTTAGTTGAGTATTCTAGACATATTCACACAACTACTGTATCTGATTCTTTACTAAATTATTCTGCTATATATATATGATCTTATCTTACAGGGAAAAAACTATTCTATATTTTCATTTCACCTTATTTCAAACACATAGAGCACCACCACCACTACGAATAGATCAGAGGTAGGTGACTGTGCAGTATAACCTCTATTATATGCACAATGCACTTAATCAAGTCTGCACATTCCTAGTTAATTGTGTAGGGAGTATTCTGATCTCTATAATACTACTGGAAGAAGATTGGTTGTGTTTCTATTTGAGCGTTGAAGTAAATTACATAAGCTCAGCGATCCATAATCTTGTCTTGTTCTGAGCATTTTTGCTTTTAATGCAACCCGTGTGCAGACTGAATTATTTGGAGTCAAAGGAGCATTTTTTAAATTTAGTAAGTGTTGGGTGGAGGCTAGTAAAGGCCAAGTCTAGTACCTTGTGGTTGAGGGCCGGGATTGTTAGGGGAGGTCAGTAAAGGGCTTAAAAGGCCAAGTCTAACACCCAGCGTCTCGAAAATGTGGTCGCTACTAGCTATAACTTTTTGTGTAAGTGGTAAGCAGTGTTGCAAAAATTCCGCCTAGTTAATCGGCACTAGGTGCTGGTTGGCCGCCTAGCGTATCACCATAATCAGTGGTCTAGGCGGCTGACTAGGCACTAACCGCCTAGGCGCTCCGGAGTGCCTAGTGATTTTTTCAACCATGGTGATAAATGTTTGATCATAACAGTAATACTATACAATTCAATTAGACATATTTGATATAATGTGACATGTTTTGATTGATTGATTGTCAAATCAGGAGGACCATTCGAAATTTAAAAAATGGTAGTTGGATTGCTAGAAGAGAATCTCGCCTAGCGTCCAACTATTTAAGAGAGGAGAAACCTCACTTTTCTCCAATAACATGGTGGCATCATGGCAAGTGATGTTTTCTTGCCTAACGGTCTCTAAAATAGTCTATTCAAAATATGTTACATCAAGATTATTAGAGTAATAGATGCTTTTAATTTGTTTTGATTATTTTTAATAGTTTATTTTCTTAGCTTTCAGTCTCCCATTTACGAAATTTCATAGTAATGTCATGAAGGAACTATACATTCAATACAGACCCTAAGACCACCTAAGATTTTCCTTTCGGTGATTTCATTTTAGGCTTTTAATCCTAAAAGTTATGCTCTACAAAAGGATACAAATTTTAGAGAGGATGACAAAGATCGCTTAACCGATTGTCCCTTGCTTGGAAAGGTCACCTTTTGGAGGTGCAGAATAATGACAGCTAATTTTGACTCCTAGCTTAAACTATTAGTGTAATAAGGTGTATTAAGTGCTCATTGAAACCAAATTCTAGTATGCTAGTACTTAGAACGAGACAAATCCATACTATTTCCTCCAGTAGAATTTAAACTCGGATGTTGTAGTTGTTAATGAAACAGATATCAACTTTATTTTAGATTGGTCAATCAACTGACTCGTAAGGTAGTACAGGTATAATGGCCTATAAGGTGTGACTAGCTCTTCATGATATAAAATTCCAAATATCTGTCTGTAGTGGTCATATGGTACAATAATACAGTTTACAAGTATATGGAATGAAGAGAGGATTGAGGATAAAGTTGTTCATTCTGTCTGTGCCGTGCGCATGGGGATGCATTATTTGACTAAACTATTATCAAAGTGATCCCTTTCATCAAGCCTAAATTTTTTCCTACTTCATAGGAAATGCACCAGCTTGGGAGGCTTTTTACTGTAGAAATTACTGTGTTGATGAAGCTCTAGGTGAAAGTAGTCAATGAGTCGTTAATTTTTTGGAACTCTATGACATATTACCCGGAGTAAAACCTGCAAAAAAAATTATATATATATATAAATAACCTGGTCAATATGCATGCCTTCAGCCTTGTGCTTTCCCTGTTGATATATACATGAATACTATTCAAGTCTAATCATCATGTAGCATCTCCTTTGGGAGCCACAAGTAGGGGATTAGCATACCTAAGTTAGTTGTGCTGTATGCATGGGCAACTTTTTGACTCCGGTTAATGAGGTGTTTGGTAAATAGTTGGTATCTGATAGCTGATAGCTGTTAGCTGGTTGAGTTAGTGAGTTTGACTAGATGATAGCATTAGCTGGTTATAGAAAGATGTTTGGTAAATTGATTGTTAGTTAATAGCTGATTACATACAAAATGACTTTCAATTCACAAAAAATTTATCAAAAAAGCTATTTTGAGCAGTTTTTTGAATTTTAGCACTTTGGAGCAATAAGATGTTATAAAAGTTGATTAATCAAACATGCTATTGTCTTGATAATTACAAGGTTTTAAGTTTGACTCTCAATTGGAGCGGCATACTGACCTTCTTGATTTGAGTCCGGCAGCTATAGATAATCTATGTTGATTTATCTCATTGTAATTTTTCGCCAATTGAATCACAAAGTCAGATTTTACCCCATGCATGTTGCATACTTTAGGTAGTGGCACTCAAAAAAAAAAAAAAAAAAAAAAAAAAAAAAAAAAAAACTGGAAGAAATTATGTCATTTCATTCTCACTTCTGAGTGAAATTGTGTTATTAATTTATACGGAGTAGTTATTATCAAATCTTATTTGAGAAACTGTTTCGACCCTGATTTACCTATGCGTTCTATGCTTTTATTACATAGTTTACTCAATTTTTAAACTGTTACTTTTTTCTTTTTTTTTTTTGAGAATTTGTAAACTGTTACCTATGCATCATATAATCTTTTCTACTTGTTTCAGGTTTACTTACAGTCACCCCTTCAAGTAATTGGTTTGTCAGTCAAACATTACCAGCAGGTAACTTTTATTTTAAGAATCAAATATTTCTTACTAGGGAAAATTGCAATAATAATTTTGATTCATTAGTTCATTGAGTTGTGTTCTAATAGTCATTTTGATACTTGCTTATCTATTTTTGTAAATATATCCGCCATGTTTGGTAAATGGATGTTAGCTGTTAGCTATTAACTGATTGAGTTAATTAGAGAGTATAAGTAGTTGATAATTAGCTGATTGTAGAAAGGGATTTGGTAAATTAGCTGTTAGTTGATAGCTGTTTGGTATAATTTTTTTTTCTCAAAAAGCTAATTGAAAAATTTATTTTGAACATCTTTTTGAAATTACAAAAAGCTAATTAACCAAACACTTATATTGATTTTTTAACCAAGTCAAACAATTAATAGTGATTAAATAAATTAAAATTGACTGATAGGTTAACTATTTTACCAAACAGAGCCTATGTGTTCAAACATGTTACAATTTGCATTTTTAGTTCTTAATATTACACGTTTATTCTTTTGTCCTAATGTCTCTCATGTCCTTTCAACCATTTCTTAACATCTCTCCTACTATATTGATGTTTGGAAAATCATATTAAAAGCAATAATTTAAAAAATAATTGACGAAAGTGGACAAAAAATGTTAGAATAAAGGATTAAAAAACATTTACCTTGTTTGATAAAATAGTTAATTTATTAATCAATTTTGACTTATTTAACTACTATTAGCTGTTTAACTTGGTTAAACAATCAATGAGTGTTGGTAAAATAACTGTTAGCTGATAGAGTTAGTGGGTTTGGCTAGTTGATAACATTAGCTGATTGTATAAAGTGTTTGGTAAATTAGTTGTTAGCTGATAGCTGATTACATATTTACATGCAAAATGACTTTTTTTAAAAGTTGATCAAAAAAACTGTTTTGAGTAGCTTTTTGAATTTTAGTATTTTGGAGCAATAAGCTGTTACAAAAAACTAATTAATCAAACACTCATATTGATTGATTAACCAAGTCAAATAGCTAATAGTGATCAAATAAGTCAAAATTGACTGATAGGCTATGTTACCAAACAGGGACAATATGAGTGTTTGATTAATTAGCTTTTTGTTCCATAATGCTAAAATTCAAAATGCTGCTTAAAGCAACTTTTTCAAATAGTTTTTTGAGAAAATCATTTTGCATGTAATTAGCTATCAGGTAATCGCTAATTTACCGAACACTTTTCTACAATCAACAAATGTTATCA